AAGCTGGCGTCTTCCCGGCCGGAGGAGGGTTGTCTCGGGCTGGCATGTCTCTGGTCGGGGAGGAGTTTGGAGTGTTTCTGGTTGGAGATGTTATTTGTAGTTTATGGTTGTGCTGACTTTAGCCATTAGGCTGATGCCTTTTGGATTTAGGTGGTTTTTGGTTAAGGTGAACTTTAGAATGAGGGGCTTGTCCAAGACGGTGATGCTCCTGCTCTGTCACAGAGGAGGGCCAGCGCGAGGTTGCAGGCGGGTGCCCTGGGCTCCTGCGGGAAGATGGCAGCTGCAGGGGATCAGTTTATCCAGCCACTGACTCAGCTTGCGGCTGCCACCCTGGGCCCAGGGACAGCCAGGGGCGTCGTCTGCGAATCACAGGGCCAGCCTGCCAGGGTGGCGACAGGCAGCCAAGGGGCGCGAGTGGATTCATCTGTGACTGAGGCTCTCCAGGGGTTCTCAGAGGTGCGGCTGTCAGCATGAGCCCTGAAAGGATGCCTCGGCTCCAGGTGCAGGCTCAGGAGGCTCTGGGGCTGGAAGATTTAAGGACAGAAGTCCCAGTTCACCGTGAGAGGAACTCTCAGGGCAGGGGAGCCCGAGGCGGCTGAGACTGAGGATAGGTGGGTCCAGGCGGAGCTTTCAGGCTGTGATAAGAAGGCTGGTGTCTCCCTCCAGGCCCCGGCAGCCTCCGAGGGGTCCCTGGTACACCTGGGGCAGGGAGAGTGGGCTGCGGGGAGGCCGCACCAGCTCAGGCACCAGGGGTTGCCAGCCCTGGGGGAGGCGAGGTGGTTGCGTGGAGAGAGAGTCGCCTCTGTGGGGCATGGGTGGGGGGAGCTGAGGGTCTGCTCTGGTGTGGCCTCTGCGGGGTCCTGGAGGAAGGCGTGCCAGTGGCCGTGACAGAAGGGCCCGGGTGGCAGGAACTTGCCACCCTGGAGTGGGCCCAGTTCACCATGGTCTGCAGGGAGCAGCGGTGCCAGGCTCAGCCCTGCCCCCCACTTGCCTTTTATGTTCTGCAGCTTTTGCGGGGCCCCCAGATCCTCTGCACGGGAACAGCTTGTACCAGAAGGTTCGGGCGGCCGCGCAGGTGAGCCCAGGAGCAGTGTCGCTCTGCGGGGTGCCCTTCCTCCTGTAGAGGGCAGGACTGGGGCCAGGATGTCAGCTGGGGGGTTTGCAGTTCCCCTGCCCGGGACCCCTGCCTCTGGGGGACAGAACACAGCTGATACGAGTGGCAGGGCGAGTACAGGAGGCCCCGGCATGAGGACGCTGAGGGCCTCCGCCTCCCCATGTAGGACTTGGGGAGCACCCTGTTCTCGGACACCGTGTTGCCACTGGCTCCCTCCCAGCCTCTGGGGAACCCGCCTGCCACAGGTAGGTGACTGAGGGGACCGTGTCCAGTCCCGGCACCGGGTTTCTGCCTCCCTGAGTGTCCTCGGCGTCTGTGCCACCCATGGGCAGGGCCGACGGTGGGGGCTGACTTGCCGCTGACAGAGGACCCTCTGCAGGCATGGGCTCCCAGGCCAGGCCGCACAGCACCCTCCAGGGTTTCGGCTACAGCAAGGAACATGGCCGCACGGGTGAGTGGGAAGGGCCTGCATGGGGCCCGGCATCTCAGGGTACAGGAATGAGGAGGGCGGTGGGGGCCGGACCATGCTGCCCCACCTGGTAGCTGCTGCCCCCCGTCCCCTCCCCTACACGGCCTCAGCCCTTCCTGGGGCTGTCCCCACTGCTGCCGTGGGGGTGGGGCAGGTGTGGCCAGGGCTGCTTTATGGACAGGCGAGAGAAACCAGGCCCAGCAAGAAGTCAGGGCTGGGCCCCATGGCAGGGGGAGTCCCACTCCGAGAGGGGCTGAGGGCTGTCCCCTGGCTATAGTGTGAGTGACTCGGGCAGTCCCGTGTGGGGCTGTTACAAGCTGGGGCAGTGCCAGTGGACAACTACTCGTTAGTGCCAGAAGAACCACAGGTGGCACCACGGCCTGCAGCTGGGACCCAGCCCCCAGCCCAGCTGTGCCCTGCTGCCAGGCCCCGGGCGGTGTCTCGCCGCTCACCGTTAGGCTGTGTCACACTGTCCTGCACGCAGCCCGGGGCTCCTGCTGACACTTTGGTGTGGGGGCACCTTCTACAGGGAGCTCACACGGGAAAGGCCGGCCCCTCCCCAGCCCTGGACACACCTCCCTGAGCCAAGGCCGAGCCCAAGCCCCTTAGGACACCCTCACCCCCAGAGGACAGAGCAGAGGGACGGAGGCATAACTGCTGTGAGCTGGGTGTCCAGGCCACTGGGCGTGGGAATGCCAAAGTGGAGTCCACCGGGAGCTTCCAGAGGGCCTGGGGTCCACCCGGAGGCCTCCCTCCCTGCAGCGTGTACCCCGACCTCCCCAAGCCTGAGCAGGGAGCCCATGCGGGCAGCCCGCTCCCAGAGAACGCGGGTGGGGGCCGCACCGGGCGGCCGTCCCATCTCCCTCTCCTCAGGTGCAGGCTCGGCAGGCGAAGCCTTCCTCTCCACCATCCAGAAGGCCGCGGAGGTGGTGGCCAGCGCCATGCGCCCCGGGCCCGAGAGTCCCAGTACCCAGAGGCTCCTGCCGCGGGGTGACACCTACCAGCCTGCCACGATGCCTTCAGCCAGCCACGGTCCCCCAACCCTGGGGAACCCACTCCCCGGGGCTATTCCAGGTCCCCGAGGTATCGAGGCGAGGGCTCCTCCCCTTGGGGTCTGGGTCACTCCTTCCTGTCACCGCTGGGGCTTAGCAGCCATGGAGGCAAATCCCAGGGCCTCCCGCACAGCAGGAGGGGACGGGACCTGAGGTGGAAGCAGATGCCCACTGGGGCTGGTGTTTGCTGAAGCTGGAGCCAAGGTGGCCACCCATCCTCAGCTCAGGACTCAGTCCCCAAGGCCTTGGTCCAGGGCCCCGGGAGGTGGGCATGGGGCTGGCCTGAAGCCCTGGGGATCTCACTGGCCATCCTGTTTCCTCCAGCCGTGAGGCATCAGCCTGGGCAGGCCGGAGGGGGCTGGGACGAGCTGGACAGCAGCCCCAGCTCTCAGAATTCCTCCCAGAACAGTGACCTGAGCAGGGTCTCAGACTCGGGCAGTCATTCTGGCAGCGACAGCCATTCAGGGGCCAGCCGGGAGCCGGGCGACCTGGCAGAAAGGTGAGTGGGAGCTGCTGGGTATGCGGGAGTGGTCTCGGAGCCACCACACCACCCCCTTCCCAGCACGGCTCCTGCTCTCCAGGTTCTCCCCA